TGACAAACACCCAGCATAGCTCAACCTTCACTCGGATGTCAACAAGGGCCTACGCAGAGACCCCATCTAGTCTTCCTTAGCCGTCAAATATTAACATTCGCTAGCATAAACCTCTGCACATGATAGGAAACATTTGCACACCCATACCTCGTTGACCGGCACTGCCAATTCCAGTGCCTAACTTCCTCATGTATATCTACTCTCACAGCTGAAGACTAATGGATCTCAAATAAGCACAATGAATCATTTGTCGCACGCCAACCACCAGTAGGCTGGAAGGGACATGCAGATTTCGATTTTAAGGACACATGCAGAATAGTGTCTATTTGTACGTTTTACAAGGTCTGGTGCATATAAACCGCTGAGACAGAAATATCTTCGAACAAGTGTCTGACAACTCTAACAGATGGTGCATCTTTGATACAAGTTTTCCTCAAATAAACTTATATGCACTATCGAGAAGCCTTGCAGCAAGGAAAGTTAAGTGAAATGTTAAAATTTTGGAATTAGTCTCCTACTTGTTCCGATTAAATTGATCAGCGATACCAGCTTTTTAAACTTCCTTTCGAAGAGAAGTATGCATGTTTTTGATATATGAGAAAACGTCCGCCCTGAAATCACAAATAATTAGCTTATGCAGGGTTGCTATTGCCGTCCGTCCAACAACGGTGCTTCGGGATTTCTTCGCACTAACGCCTCTTTCGCCTAATCCTCAAATCACCAATGACACTAACGTCAGTGTCGACGCTGATGTCCCATCCGTACAACTACAAAATTTATCCAAGAGGAAAGACTGCTTAAGGGAGAGCATCTGGCGCTAGTCTGTCCCAAGCAACCTCTCGAGTAGACCACAAGTAGGGTAGATAGATATTGGCTGGGGAATTCACCGCACTCCTTAAGCGGGCGGAAGGCTGCCAGGACCAGCAGAGCGATGACTCTTTAGAGCAGATATACACTTGGACATTTTTGAGGCCAAAGGAGGCCCCGTTCACCGCCAACCTTGCTCTTACAAGCCGACAGTCCGGTTTGGAGGTTCCGGCTGTTCATTTGAATTACTGTTCGGAGTAATGTTCCAAACGGTTCAAACGTTCCCCTTTGATGGACGTTAGGGAGTCATTTTTATCTCTGATGGTTTCGCCGACAGAAGACTTACGAGGACCAAACGAACAAATTAGACGAAACCAACCTCGGATGCTGCTAGAATTTTCGGCACCTTTCAGTTTTTGCCTTTTGACTTCATCAAAATTCCTGACCTATAAAGACACTGAATTTCACATGGAGTCGGATGATGAGTCGATTTGGGTTGTGGCTGAGACCAACACGGTCCTATCGGAGATCCTATGTTCGAATGAGGTTGGTTGCGTTGTACGGAAGACGGAATTTCTGGCTGTGAGTGGTGCTTTGAATATTTGTTTCCAGAAGTCGCTAAAATCAGACAATGGACCAGCCTGCAGGCCTTAGAGGAGCCAGTTCTGATAGGCTTTTTATTTGTGAGTGCACGAGATCCCCAACAGCTAAGCGGGTTGTGTGTGTTCTGAAAAGATTTGAAAGGCACAATAAAAAGAAGCAGCAGACAAGTGCATAACCAAGATCCACGAAGGTGTCCTAGAGGGACAAACAATGGTCCACCGGTAACTGACGATAATGTGGCCTATTTGCGTTCGCCGCTAGCTGGTTAGTGGGTACCAAGCTGTCATGCAAGGTATACTGTTTCGTGAGTTGGTACTCCAAGGGAACAGACCATGAGCGGACTTGGCCGAGTAGGCGGTTTTCTTTGTCCGTGAACCTCATGTCGAACTCAAGGTGACAAGCCACTTGGATCTCAGAACCGCGCTTAGCCTACCCACCTGAACGACATATCACCAGCGACCACAACGATGTCTGCGCTTTTAGCCTGTTGTACGAAAACACCTAGAGCGTCACAAAACCTGCATTTGATGGATTCAGACCTGCAGTCAGACGGGGTTGGGTGTGGTGAGCTCCACTGTAGTACTTGCGTCGTTTATCCTTGTTTCTGTCAGACAGTATACATCAATGCAGAGGGAGTCCAGCGTTCAAGAAAGGGCCGCTCCCTATCCTGTTTGCTTCAGTGTGCGAAAATTAAAGGCAGCTTACCGGGCCGGTTTTCGGGGTTTCAGATTTGTTAGTGGAGTCGTGCGTACTGAAACTGCAGCTGGGTGTAGTACATGGTGAACGGAGCTTTCAGTCATGGTACCAGGACGTACGAATCGACTGGGGTAGAGTAGAAGAGAGAATATGTGGAAGTGTAAGAAGGGATGCGCAAGCCGTAGCGAGTTTCTGCTTACTTGTCCCGCTGCATGTAGAAATTAAGGCAAACTAGTTGATGAGAACGCAATGGCCGATGTGGCATGATAAAACTTTTCGTAGCGTTCACGGTTGTACGGGAGCTTGGATCCTGTCAGTGTGCCTACACAAAGACGAGAGGGCAATTAAGGTCGGCAGTCAAAGCGTTTTGTTCAAAATCTGACAGCTGCTGGTGGGTATTGGCACACTACCACAATATGTCAGGTTTTCGAGGGAACTGTTTACCTTGTCTATCCAATCCTCCTACCTGGAGGACCAAGAGACGTTGATAATCAAAACCCTATTCACTGAACAGTTTAGTATGTGAAACTCTGTGGCTGTTAAAGGGAAACCTCCAGCATAGCTCAGTGGGTCACAGAGGTTAGGATGTTGTTGGTGTTGTACGCCTTCCAGGATGAGGTCCCCGTGAAGCCGCCTGCGCTTGGCTGAAGACGTTTCAAGAAATGGCAGAAGACAGGGAAGGACACACGTTCAATTGGGACAGCGTTCAAATACTCACTCACGCAAGAACAAAACGGGAACGAGAATTTGCCGAGGCGTGGTACTCCACACAAAAATCGATCAATAAACACATCGACATTGACCCAATCTATCAGCCGTTACGAGCGAAAGACCCACAGATTCACGGGACTCGGAGCTAAGAATCCTAACGGAAACCAACAGACTAATTGGGACAAAGGAAGAAAATCACGAAAAACAGAAGGCCAATCAAATGGGCAAAACCCACCCCACAAGGGAAGAAGGGAACGATCCAATCACAGCATGACAACCGCATACAGAACTGCTGAACTGAATGCACCCAACGAAACAACCAGACACAGGAGATTGGGACCACGTGAGATTCACAGGAGACCAATCAAACTACACGACGGCCGTTTCCAGAACTACCAGATACTGTTTAGAAGCTATATACTCACAGGCAGAAGAGGAGGAATTCAGCCACTCAACCCTGCACTGACGATGTCACCTCGATTGGTGATGAAACGTTTGCAATCCAACTGCCAAGCTCGGCGAACAGACCAACAACCAACGGCTAATCGATGACGGTGGTGTTCGTGCTGTCAGTTTCTTTTCAGATTGTCCGATTGAGTGGTTGGTGATGTAGGCACCTCAGAATGCTGGACATAGGCCAGCACTGGGTCCCCTTTCTCACTCACTCTTTTCCTCTTCTTTTTCACTCCATAATTATAAATGTATATATGTATATAACTAGACGAACCTTATGGCTGTGCGGCAGTGAAGCATCAGCGCCAACACTGATGCTGTTGTCTTAGATGATGATGAGATATTTTGGATCCTGTACTTCAGTTTACTGGTTCGTCTTTGGGTTTGTTTTAGTAACCTGATGTCTCGCTTTAGCCAGTGGTTTAAGCAAAACACCCAGCCTCTCACCGGTGTACCGTGTTTGCACCAGAATGTAGGGCTGCACTGTGTCGAAGAAAGTAGTGCATACCTCTAAATTGTTATTTGTACCTTTGTCCAGCTTGAGATAGCCAATTGGTTAAGGCGCGGACACGTGAACCGAAAGGTCAGCGGTTCGGACCAAGCCCGCGCATCTCGACTTCTATCTAGGCTTGTACAACCTCACAGAAGCTCAGCCTTCGTGCTTCCTCCAGGTTTTAGAGCTGAACGATTTTTCTGGTTTGTGCAAATGGGTTCTATGGGCCGACGGGTGGTCAGGCACGATCGCTTACGCATAAGGTCACCGTTTCCCAGCTGGGAGTATGTTTTGCTGCTTGGCTGTGGTCCCTGACTTACGAGCACACAGGAAGTAGAATCCTAAGGTTTGGCTGGAATGAATCATCTTGTCTGATTCTTTTCTAATTTGGTACGTCAATATTGTTCTTCCTTTGCTCAAGGAGTTTCTGCAAGATTCTAGTCGATTTTTTATTATTATTCCGGCAAGGACGTTTGTGATGAATATCAGCTGACGCTGACGGCCCCAGTAGCGACGGTCCGTGGCAAAAGCCCCTTTCGTGATGAAGGTGACGGGCTAGAAACCGGCCTTTGTTAAGAAAGGTTGAGTGTGGATTGGCTGGAAGTGAGTACATCGAGCGCTGGACAGATACTGTATCAACCCTTTCCCTTAGGTTTCATGTTATTCCACTACCAATATGAAGGATACTGGGCTCCAGAATGGGCTTACAAAATACTGAAGTGAATAGTGGTTATTGTGATGACCACCGAACTGAACAATCCGGTTGCATTTTATTTCGATATCGACTGAGGTGACATCAGTGCGTAGCAATTTGATGTGGTGTCGTAGTGCAATCACAGACTAACTTCCAAGCTCAGTGGTCACGATAACAACCATCTAGACAGCTTGAGCCACCATTATTCCCCCATATATCAGAATGGGTGGTCTTGTCTTTGCTTGATCGTATGTTTTGTTAGTCACATCCAAATTTTCTTCGCTGGATATTTCGAGACTTTGTAACCTACATTGTGATGTCTTGGAATAGATTGTTAGTGTGTGGCGAAGAGCTACCGACTGGAAGTTCTAAGGCCATCAATAATAGCATGCTTATCTGTACGATCTTCTAAGACCTTTTCAGCACTCAGCCTTAGAGACCAGTCATTTTAGTAAAGAAAGCTTTAGTAAGATGAATTCGCATTGCAGTTTCATTTTATTGGAGGTTTTGGAATTATGGTATTGTTCTTCTTCTGACTTGCAGTTTGTTTGTGTCGCCGGAAGTGCTTATCGCATCAAGGCGTTTGCCCAAATGTTGGCCAAGGAAGCTGGACTATCCACCGACCTTCCTAATCTAGCTGCCGACGGAGGACGCTTTGTTTTGTACAAAGTCGGCGCAGTACTGGCAGCCGACGTAAGTTTTCTGGAATGGAGTAATTCCTACTTTTACATTGTCGTTTGTGTTTTTCTTGCATTCATGAACAGACAGGTATCAAGTATGTGTGTTTTAATATCAGCATAATGGCAACTTTTACTAATGAGACAACGAACTGCCGATTCAACAGAATTAGGTTTAGTGTATTGCAGAACATCTGCACTCTATATATTGGCTCGTCAGTTACGAACAACAGGCTTCTGATCCGCTTATGCAATATCATCCCTTTTGTGTGAAAGAGTCTACCTGTTTCATAAAGGGGAAGTGTTGCAATCTGTTCAACAAAGAATTTCCAGCAATCGCATGCCGTAGTAAATCTACCTTGCTACATTCCAATTGTTCAAGTACTTTTGGTCGCCAGTGTGTGGTTTAAAAAATTTTGAACTAAAAGTTAACCTCCTGTTGAATCTCCTGGTGATTCACCAGTGTGACTTGGTCAATACAGCCGGTACATTGAAAGAACCTTGGAAACGAAGTATATCCTGAAATGGAGGGTTATCGTAAGATATGATGGGATGCTGGTATAGGCTGGTGCATCCACTGCACTTGAAAGGACGAATAACTAACTCGTCTATTAACTGAGAACTTCTCAACTACCCTTCCTTTCCGCTTTCAGGGATCAGACCAAAAGACTAGTCAGAGAACTCACTTGTTCTTTTCACTTTTACGCGATGCAACTGTCGTGTTGAAGTCTTCCGGTACATTTACTGACTTGGTATAAATAAGCATTGCATGGTGTAGCAAGAGCAACGCTCATACAGAATGCGGCACTTAACACGGCAAATGCCGGCCACCACAACTGCAACGCCTGAACGCCAAGAGTGTGATGTTGCTTACCATGAATTCGCGGAACCGTATAGCGTTAAGTGGGTTGCAAAGAAGCCTCAGTTTATAAAGCAAATTAGTCATATCGTTGTTGTGCACTCTTCAGCCGGTTTCGCTCTTCTTTGGGCTCATCAAATGGGCGCGGTCCCTGAGTTTCCATCAGCCCTATGTTCTACTGAAAGAAAATTGGTCGGATTTTGACAAATATACCCATCTGCACATCTCTATTGGTTTTCACGAGAGGTTCAACTGAACAATAGGATTAATGAGATGTGCAGTTGAAAACTAAGTCGATACGCAAATGTGTGTATTTGTCGAAGCCTCGGTTTAGTTCGTCCTAATCCTTGTCCGGACAGCGAAAACTAACGGTGAATAGTGACCTGAACTTAATCATTCTTTTGCAAAGACGCTGTGTTTCCATACCAGGAAACGACATTCTAGATGCTTCGGATCTGTCTGAAACAGCTACCTTCTAAGAAAACAGAATGCCTCATCAAGTTTGCGCACCTCGCAATTTTAGCACGGAATGGGAGCCCCTTCCATTTCCATACTGCTGCACGAAATGTTCAAATTGCTGCACTACGCCCACTGCACCGACGTCACTTTTATTCGACTTGGAACATCCGGGGGCATAGGTAAGCGTTATCTCAATAATTGTACAACCTTATGAATTACATAATCTGTGGTTGAGTGGTAGGGGTCGATGGGGCACTGCAAGTGTGTTTAACCTGTCCACATCAAACACTACGGCAGCAGATGATTTCCTCGCTAATAAGAGCAAGACATCCTCAGTAGGTTGCGTGTAAATTCGTGATTGCATCTAGATATTATCTGTTCACCCAGAATGACCTTGGCGTATGGATGTTGGCATGGGTGAACATGGGTTTTGTGATTGATCAGTATCTAGTTCATCTAACCACAAGATCTACTTATGTGTTCACTTGCTACCTCTCAGTAGTAAATCCACTTTCGACTTTGGGTGCGTCACTCTTGCTTGTAGTCCGCTTCAGGCTACTTCAGGCCGCTTCAGGCAAAACGCTACACTCCTTCTAAAGAAAAGAGTTATGCAGTTCATTAGCGGATTCGATCGTTTAAAGAACAGGACAAATCATGCACGACGCCCTGTTGAACATTGGATTTCGGTCCATCTAAACTGGCGTTGCCCAGCTTTTGGGTTCACTCTTCGCTTCTTATTTTTTCCACTCACTTTTTAAAAAAAACTGTGGCAACCATTCCATCCTCAGGAGCACAGCCCTCATTCTATTTGTCTTTGAACTGAGTGGATGTGGTATCAGAACCACTTGTCTGCCCGAATTACTAAAAAACACCTTCAATTCTCAATAAACAATACGGAATTTTCCAACTCGATCACCGCTCATAAAGCCGACGTTGGAGTTACAACATGATCAATGCATTCACGTCAAAGTGGAAAATTTTGGCAACTAAATGAACTTTCTGTTTACAGCTAAGTGACGAGATTTGTCGCCTTCGGGAATATTCGCACCGAAAGGAGACTGTATTTCAGCATCATGCTTTCTAACAAAAAACCGCCCCAAAAATCTACAAATGCTGTGTAGGGGCTTTGACCAACTTGGTGTAAATCACAACCAACTGCTAACTCCACCGACGCCTCCCGCGTGTAGGTGTCTCCGAGGTGATTCTTAACTGATCCCCGACAGAGATGGACTTTATTGTGTGCAACATAAACTACAAGTTCTTTGATTTCGATCAGATGGTGTACCTTATGGCATTGGCTCATTGTTCTTTCGTCAAGACAATTACCTAAACACATTTTTCGTCTGTCGCACTGCGTGTTAACACATCGCTTCGCCTAATATTTTTTCAACATTTCTCACAGTTTCTTATTGAAAAAATGGTGGCACCATTCGCCGTTTGTGGTTGCTCTGCTTGCTAGCTTTCTTAATTCTGTGAATGTATGCTTCCGCCTCGTTCATTCTCAGGCGTAGAACCAGGTACTTTGGTCATTACAACGGAAGCACTCGATACGGCATTTGAGTCATTCTATTCCCTGGTAAGTGATGATTATAGATACCGTTTTGTAATCATGGCATATTTGATGTAATGCGGATTGGAATCAGTGACTTGAAATAAACTGGCTGACTCGTCATGGCTCTTTGATAATAGTGATTCTGTATATTCCATTTGGTGACCCTCTGATCACAACGATTAACATAAGAACATAAATCAAATTAATCGCTTTATTACAAAGCTGGAATTCGAGCCCAGGCAACAGATTCAAATTGGAATTCGTCTAAGGTTACATCAATCTAGCGGGCAGTTTGAAGAGAGTGAAGAGATTGGTGGCTGGACAACCACTAACCCACCGCTACGCACAACTATACACTGACGATGTCGCCTCGATTGGTGATGGAACGTTTGCAACCAAATTGCCCAGCTCAGCGAACAAACCAACGAACAGTGGAGACTTACACGTTTGGAATGTGGGTCTCGTTAGTAGCAAATCATCCCGTCCTAGAACGTCGGCAGTTGATGTATGGCTGTTTCCTGGTCATCATCACTGTCAGCTGTAATAACCACGTACTAGTCGTACAGTGGTTGTAGCTGCCACAGTTTCGTTCACTGATGATTCGGGGAGGTGGGGTAGATAGCTGCGCATTCGAGGCGGGAACTGATAAAAATACAGCACTGTCAGTGGACTGTTAAATGGGGAATTGGGAAGGGAGCTATGCATTGGAGGCAATAGCTTGGATGCAAGAGCACCATTCAGGGCGCACTTGGCCATGTCTAACAATGCCTCTAACCATTGATATGGCCCGTCTGGGGACCCCCATTCCGGAAGACGGCAATAACCAGCGCAACTGAATTTGCTGGTATTGGCTTTTATACTTCGCTACCAATCCATTGTTTGGCCGCCTCTGACTCTCTTCCACCTTTCACGTGGTTGTGTTGAAAGAGCCCTTCGAGGAAGTCGGTCGTTTGGCATACGCAGTCAGCGCAACCTATGCAGTGTGATCAGTTCATCTATCAAGGGCTAGTTATTTCTCCCAAATACCATTCGACGTACTTTAGCACTGCTGATCTGGTGTTCCCACTAGACTCGGGACACCGAAGTCATCGGTTGTCAAACACTGAAGGTCTTCTGACGTCCTCGGTGCTCAGCGGCAAGGTTTGTGATCCATACAGTAATATGGAGCGCACCGCAGCATTGTAGACTCAACTTTTGTCACAGAAGCTGATGTCACACCCAAGCTACAGATGACGCAGGTTCACAGAAGCTGCTCTAGCCTTCCCAATCTAGATGGGAATATCATCCTTCGCGAGACCTCCGGGATTGATACAGCTGCCCAGGCATACAAATTTGTCTACTACCTCAATCGGTTCATAGGCACGCATGAGGCTAGGGTTCGAGCCCACCCAGTCTTGCAGTAGCACTTTGCAGTTTGGAGGTCATGGATGGCCAGCAAATGCATTCAACTAATTCCCACAGAGACTCAGACCACAGCCTTCCAAGCAAGAGTTTGCACACCGCCATTCAGCTACGAGCAGTTGATCAGCAGTTTTGTTATCCCGCACTTGAATAGGATATAGCGCCGCTCCTCCTTCATCCAAGCAGTTCACCTCAAGTGATCCCAGATAGACGGGCTCATGACTAACCGGAAGTAGAACGTGAGTTCGACTGAAACTTAGGTAGTTAGCCTGCCCAATGAACCCCAGAAGGGCGAAACTCGCAATGAGGGTTCGAAGTGTTCTCAGAAACCTTATGGCGTGTTCTGCCGAGAAATTCCATTGCAGATCTGTTTGTTTGCTGTTAACATGATTGTTGGAATCAAAGTGAGGTTTTCAAGTGCTCAATGATAATTGCTGCTGCGAATCAAAGGATAATTTTATCGATTTCTGCTGCTTTGCAGAATGGGTTGACTTGAGATCGACGTAAGTGTCTTGGACTACAAAAACATCAACCTATTGACAGGCAAGAGGGTTTTACTGTCTGATGTTTGAATTTGAGGATGGTGATGGGTTTTCTCCAAGAAGCATCCCGTCCTCTTCATCTTAATCCTAGTTCTGTTTGCACATCAGCAATTGACGCGGTTTTGGAAATGTTTTGGACGCTTCTACGGGCTGCTGTGCTCAACTATGAGTGTTTCCTTATTTCAATGAATATATTTTACCAATGTATCACGCCAGAGCACCTCAAATTCTTAATTTACGAGCCCCGCTGCACATCGAAGGATTCTCAGTATGTGCTTTAGTTGGTCGTTACAACCCACTTGCTTCCTCGTCACGTTGCCTAAGTGCACTTTTCTTGCCAGCTCATATGTCATAGCTAGATTACAGATGCCTTGCAATGGACTATTTGTCCAACCGCATTGCTGACGCTATCAACGGTAGTCATCGATCCTCGAGCGCTTATATCAGCTGATGCGGGAAATTTGGTTAGTCTCCCTGGCTGTAATGCTGAATCTGGTCAACGGGGACTGAATGACCTTATCCTGTTTTATGTTTTTAATATGATGCAGCGAATCGCCTCACTGTGAAGCTACGAAATGAACTTAATCGAAAAGTGAGGTAAGGCACACGATGAGAAACTAATCCTATGGTTTGAAATCATCGAAGCGCGTGAAGCATGTGACCTGACATGTTTTGGTATGTGAAAATATGGGTGTGTTCCGGTGCCCTCAAACTGAAAGTGAGGCGTGACACTGCTGCGTGGACATTCAGACAAGCAGTCAGCTGAGGTAAACAAAGAGAGAGATATGTGCAAATCTGCTCGCAGGAGTGTGCTTGAAATTCTGACAGCCATTTCACTGTTGAATGGTTTGTGAGAATTTTAAGCGACCATTTTGTACATCCTGTATGTGTGGAGCTTCAGCTCTACTGCAAACCAAAATGTGATCGTCTGCGTGCTTGTTTCAAGGTCGTCATCTGTACGCAGCACATTTATCGTTCTACGGTCCACTTTGTAAGATGTCAGTCTTGACCAGGAGCGTATTATCGTTGAATTTATTCGGCACGGCGCTGTATTTTCTTGTGTGACAAGCTGGAGTCGGCGTCTACAGAGAATAGGTGCTATCCTGTCAAGCACTCGTTTGCTTGATAACAGCCGTATAAGATCTTAGCAAGTTCCGAGAGTGATATAACACTGAAAGCAATGTTTTTACGATGTAGTACTGTTTGTTCTTTTTACTGAAAAACAGGTAGAAATGTGTTCGTTCACTAGCCTTAGTTTGAAGCACAATTCTCCACTTTCTGTCCTCTAAAATATCAGCATTTCGGCCGATGAGTTTGCAGCTGTGTTATAAGACCTATGCAGAACTCGTGCTATGGAGGTGAAAAAACGATTTTATGCATACCGTTACAATCAGCAAAGTTAATTAAGATAAAAGCGATGTGTGACAGATGTTTCACGTCCTTTTTTGCCAGAAGAATTGTTCCATACTCACAGCCGATAAGCCTTTATCAAGGGTTTTTGCTTACAGAATCGTCCTCTGTCTACTTCAGTGATATCGGTGTTTGAAGCTGAACGACCTTGTAAGGAAGCCGCCTTTCCACCGGATGAATGGTCGTATTATACCGAAGGCACTTACAACAAACGGGGGTTAACCGAATAACCTCTTTTCGGAGTGGTTTTTCCTTAGGCGTTTATTCGAGATAGACGACACCACCTGCTCTCTACAGTCTCTACTGTTTCCGTACGTCGTTGCCCTCAGCCTAGTGGTGGAAAACAAACAGTCTACTGAGTGTTCTCAAGTAGCTGAGACATGTTAAAAACGTCAGAGTGAAGTCAATTGATCGTCAAAGGACTTGGGGAGTCTAAGCAAGTTTCGTTTAGAAGAAAATGGGCGTGCTCCAGTAACGCCTTCCAGAATTTCTATTGGGTTGGGCAGAACTCAGTTGCGAACTAAATGAGAAGGGCCTTCCATTATTAAGCAAACTACAGTGCGCTTGTTCCTACAAATGAAGGTGCTCCCACCTGCTCTAAACTACACTCTATAACTCACCGCTTTTTGCCCTACGACATACAGCGCATCCTTGGCAAGACTGTGAAACGACCTGCTCCATTGGACCCTAACCTGGCGGACGAACTGTATGAACTGGCTCAGACGCTACCTGACAATGTGCCTGTCGTGAAGGGAAAAACAGTTTGTGCAAACGATTTCTATGAAGGTAAGCCAATCAAAATCGGCGATTTTTCTGAAACATCCAGATTACTTTTCGAATGTCTGCCAGATTTCCCTTAACCGTCGTACGTTTGAAGTGTCAGAATCATTCTCAAAGCTTCTACCTACTTAAACCCGATAGCTTGATGCGGGTGCTGTTTTGGACAACAGTCAATCGCACTACCAGAACATATTTTGTGGCTTGTACCGTAGATAAAGCTAATTTTCTCACTGACAGGTATAAAAATCGGTTACTGGTAGTTTTTGGCCAAAGAGTAACCGGAGTATTGATAACTTTCGCGAGAAAACAACTGAATGTCGTCTTGTCGTTCAACAATCAAAGATTAAGATTAGCTGAGGTCATCTCGGCTGCAACGTGAAAACCAACTGCGAATTCATCTCACCTATCCGTAGTGGATAACGGGAGCTAAATCCTAACTCTATTTGTTACCGGTCATCCGATCAACATTGACAGAATGTAGTTTATTTGTTAGTAGTTGCGGGATTTGCGGAATTCGCGTTCAAAGCATCATTGCTTGCACAGTTCTTTAACTTTTCCAAGGTTTGGAAATACTGGAATCGTGTTTCGCTCCTTGAATACGCGAGGGTTCGAACTTCGGACACGTGACATATGGGAGGAGCTTGTTACCAATATCCCATCCGCGCACGCTAGATGCACCTGAATTGACACGTCTGGTCAGGCGAACTTGCTCGCGCTTGAGCGATGTGATTGCCACCGAGTAGTTGTATCACTCGACTGACCTGCCTTTCAGAATTTCCCAGTCAAGTAGCGCTCGCATTGAATTGACACGTCTGGTCAGGCGAACTTGCCCGCGCTTGAGCGATGTGATTGCCACCCAGTAGCTGTATCAATCGACTGACCTGCCTTTCAGAAGTTCCCAGTCAAGTAGAGCTCGCATCGGGTGTCATATATCGGGGGTTCAAATCCCAGCACGATCAAGTATATGCGCTGCCTCTATGCTGTCATAAGAGCGAAACACAATCCCAGTGGGATATACTCACCAGAGTAATTGCGCCAGGACAGGAGGAAGACCGTCCAAACAAAAATGATGTAAGCGAGAGCGAAGTTCATCTAGACGGGGTGCGCAATTCATAAAGCTAATGGAAACTTTTCCACAGCCGACGACCGGTCCGGTCACTCCTGGGGCTCATCGGATAGACGCAGTCCCCGATTTTCTGCCAATCTTTTGTTTAAAAAATAAATAAATCGTTCAGCTGTAGCACCCTTTCGGTGCCCAACTGACATGCCGCACAAAGGAGGCACGAGGGCTGGGATACTGCCAGGTCACCCAAGCCTAGACAGGGGAAGTCGACAGGCAGATGTGGGGTTCGAACCACGGACCTTCCGGTCAGTAAATTCGAGCTCTAACCACTTGGGCCATCTCGCCCCCAATGTTTACACATTGTCAATTTCGTGGAACTGGCCACGACAAGTTATCGCATATACCTGTTTCCTACCTAGAAAGGAATAAATCAGTCGTTCAGTTGTAACATCATTTTCGTGTTTATCTTCCGCGGGACTTGAAGGAACCATAATTTATTAGCCAACTCCAGATTCGAGTGATCCAAAAGTCGGGTGTAATATCGACCCGTAGATCTCTTCAGCAGCCTCGCTCCCAGGTGGAAGCATTCTAGTGGTAGAGTGGCGTTGTTTCTCGCCCTAGCTTAGGTAAATATCGCATGATACTATCAAGAACTCTTGGGAACAACGAAATGAATACGACATAATATTAGAAGCCTGGATGCACTTGTCGGTTGTTGTTCTGTTCGCGATGCATGACGCAGTGATCATGCGTTTAGCCATAAATCACCTAGCTCGGCGAACAAACCCGTAGTGAGCGGCGATATCTTTCGAAAACTCTTCGTCTGATTTCGTGTTCATGTAACTATATCCCACCTTAATATAACAGTATGTATTTGCAACCACTTCCGCTCTACTAAGCATTCTAGGTACATCACACTTTGGTTTCATTTTCTTCTTCAGAGCAAGCCAGACTTGACGGGGCATTTTGCCAGTTCACGGAATCAGAGAAGATGGCCTATCTGAATCAGGCCTGCTCGATGGGTGTGAGAAACTTCGAAATGGAATGCACATGTTTCGCGGCCCAATGTTACCTGGCTGGCGTCCGAGGTGAGTGAATGACCGGGTCTGGTTTAACGTGTTGTGTACCATGACGTCGCACGGCCGTCGACAACAGTGTTCCCCGATAAATACCATTATGCGTCGAGTTTACTTCAACCACAAAGGCCAATGAACCAATCCAAGTCAGACAGAAGGCAGTTCTTGCATGAACAACAGAAGCATTAAACTGTGTCTGTTGGTTGTTTGGAAACAATGGGTTTAAACAAACTACCGACGTTGTACGTGCCATTAAAGAGTGTGCGATTTCCCTTCAGACATTTTAAGGAATTCCTTGGCTGATGCATATGATCGGAATCGCTCAAACTTATATGGATTGGTTTACCCTAGGGAAGTAGATCCTTCTCAACACTCAAGTTAGAAAAAGCAAAGGAAAGACAGTCCTTAATTGCAAAGCCCACTGATTCTCGTGGCCTAAGTTTCGTATGTGGCGACAAACAGTTTTATGATTTTTAACGGTCTGTTGGAGTGCATGCACGTATAGCATCGCTTTGCACGTCTGAACGTTGTCGGGTGATCGGAAACTGACCGGCCGAGCGGACAAGATTATGGACTAACACTTCGACAAATTTGGTTCCAACCGCACATGATCGCCTACGAAAACTGGTTGCTGATTTCCATCTAAGTAGCCTTTAGGCTTGCCTTCTTTGGATGAAATAGGTGAGAAGAATATTCTTTTTGATCGGGACCGATAGGTAAGACTTAATCCTACACGTTTGTATGGACCGCGTTCTTTAACTGGTGTCCGTCACCGAAGATACTGGTTTGTTGCCAGCCCCGTCAAAGATTCACAGCTCTCCAACCAACCACTTTTGACGATCGGTTTTTGGACACTACCGCGAACTCAGATTACATCATCTTCTGTATTTAATCGATAGTGCGGTTTCCTGAGTGCTTCAAGGCCACAAAAGTATGTACTATGGTCAGCACAAACAACTGAAAATGTTTGACATAACTAGCCCCTTCGCTTCCTAAAATCTTCAGCGTGAATGGTACAGCTACCCTGTGAGAGTCACCGTAAAAGTCTTATTAAATCTTACCTTCAGCTTCAAACGGCATGTGAAGTAAATCTGATGGTTACCAACAAGGATAAAATAGTGAAAAAATGCTCCCGGCTTTTCAGTGTGCAATACCCACCAAAATGTACGCAGGACGTTAACCACTGGTATGCAGATGGGGTGGTGAGGATGGACTGTCCGAGCTGAAATTCGCGACGCCATTGGGCCACACAATTCAAGTTGCTGTTTCGCTGAAAGTCTGCTTCTACGATATCAAGCCAGACATCATGCAGTAAATCCGCTCATTTAAACATCACTTTGGTTCTGACGGGTGACTTACCTAAAACCCAGATGAATTTCTCGTTATGAATTTCTTAAGCTGGATTCTAGGTCAATTTCCTGTTAAGACCGAATTCGTACGCAGCTGATTAAAGTTCATTAATTTTGTGCAATTTGGGTCCAGTTAGGGCATGAATTTGACCGAAATTCGAGGACTGCACCTACCTGATGAACCGTCGTCTGCTGTCGATGAGTTTTTTTAGCAACCTTGTGAGTAGTGCATTATGTCCAGACAACATGGAATTCTGTATTATGGTCCTCAGTGCATGCCGAGACGTACGAAACACACGCCACGACTGATTCTCTCTGTGTTTTCTCATCGTTCATCCTGCACTTTTCCATTGAGTTCACATCATCGCGTGACAATGGAACAAAATGCTCTACTGCTGCACATAATCATTAGCCTTATCCAGGGCATGCATATTTTTCTGTTGACGATACGCACAGATTTTAAATGTATAGAAAGGTCCCATGTCTGTTGCTAAGTTGAACCACTGATTTGTGGGAACGATCGATACAGGAATGTTGCATATGTTTCAACGTATCGAGATGGACGATAGGATAAAAGCTGATGAAACAAGTAATCACAGGAAACAACGTGTACGCCAAATATTTAGAAAGGGTAACGTTCGGAATGACGAGCGCTCGGAGCCTTCAATGCCTAATAACTCAGCTCGTCAGCGGAGGTAGCTGGACTTACACGTATGCGGCCTCGTTTCGCGCCGCCTAGAGAAGTTGCATATATCAGAGATGTCCACTACTGTGGCTATATTTGATCTCTGATCATGTTGATACGTTTTTGTGCTGCCGGTCGTTAACCACCCGTAACCACACTTGCTTGGACCCAGAAGCTTGCGAAGCCAATCCGGTTTCCCCTCATGCACATAATTCAGAACGTGTGAGAGTGTGCACTGAACTATCTAAAAACTTCGTCTTCGGAAAATGCGGGGCAACGTTTCACTTTTGAGACAAAAGCTTCTTCAAGCCAAGTGATGTTGGTCGAGATTTAACGCGGAACGGGAACCAATCAGATAAGTCAACCCAAATCTGACAGGGAATTTTGTGTTAGGGTGGATCACCAAGCGTTAAACCGATGTGGAAACCTACCCGGATTTGGGTTCAGCTTAGTGTGTAGTTCTTCCTGTTCGGTCCACATGATGCTCCCTCCTGAACGTCTTTTGCCCTTTTCGTCCGTCTGTGTGGATTCTGTGAACTTTGATCATGATTTCCACCCTCCCCCTACTTTATGTTTCTGCTAATGATTCTACGTGCACTGATAACCACACATACACACACAGTCACGTGTCGACTCGGCTTTCCATACGCTCGCCAGTTCCACACCCTCAATTCTATTAACGCTGTGATGCTTGATAATTTCCATTGCCTCACCTATCAGCAGCTATGGTGCGAATTGCAGTCCCCGCCTATAACTTTCACATCCTCCAGATCTATTGTATGTCCTGTGTACTGCGATCTCTGAGTCCTTCTTTAGCGCTTGGTATTCTTCCGCATTTCTTGGTGGTTTGTTTACCCTCTTATGCTTGCAAATTCTGGTGTGCAGTTCTCTGGCAGTTTGTCCCATGCAAACTCTAGTGCAATCGTTGCATTTAATTTTATGCACACAGCCCCCAGTCCTTTCATCCGGGAGGGATTCTTTCATCAGCGTACCGTTTTTCCCTTCTGGAAAGTTACTCGAATGTAGACAATTTTAAATACCTCGGTGGCTTTGTCAGATCTGACTGAAGAGTCTAGTGAAATCAGTGCACGAATCTCCAGGGACAAAATCACGTGCTGATTCCCTCATTTGTCGCTTGAAAAAGGTATATCACTGGTTCTCAAGGGTCGCATGAACCAGGCTACAGTAGGGGATGTGTTGTTGTGATGATGATGTGAAGCGACTTCCTTTTTTGACCACCAGTACCTCAGAACTGTTGCTGTGTCAGCCAACGTTAAGGAACTCGTAACCAGGTGATTAGAAAACGGATATCCTGTTATGCAGCGGGTACTTCAGTCGCAGAAAGCATACAGCGTCTTTAGTTACTATGTTCTACGTGTGTCGAACGATCGTCTACCGAGATGAGTGTTATTCTTTTATGGTGATTATGATGATTCAAATAGAATGACGTGGTCATACGGCAGTGAAGTGCCAATATTCTCATGTGGTGATGGTGATTAATCTGATAAGACGTCAAACTTAGTCCGTTCAAGTGGCAAGATGAGAAAGAGCATGGTAATACTCGCTACAGCGATTGATCGCAGCTCACGTCTGACATGCCTCGGCTAGTCAGCCTATTCCGACGGACGCAACAACAGGCCGTCAGTGGAGTATTCGGCTGCGATGCATAGAAGTGTTCAACTCACCTGCATTTACCTAACAGTGTTTGACTGTCCGTGTGCATCATCTCCGCAATCAGTTTGTACTGTCTTCAGTTCCAAGCTGAGCTCCGTTAGGTTTGTACCTATAGAGAAAGACGGTTATCCTGGGTCTCAGAACTTCACAAAATCAATTTCGGGTTTCATCCCATCCACGAAATGAGAAATATACTCAAAAGTGGAAACATTTTCTTCTTTAAGATGCCATCATCTGATCCCCATTGAAACATGCTGTGTTGTGTAATTCCCAACTTATTCAGACTGCTAGGTGGTTACTGATAGCCAAGTGTCTCACGTCAAAATGCTATCCAGAAACTGATGATTTCGACTCTTCAGTATTGGTGCGATACACGCCATTCGTGTCTCACCATCTCGAAACAGCTTTACGGTTTTGTTCAGACTTTTCAGCATAGTCTGACTCCCCCTATTGGGTCGAGTTCATGGTTAAAGTTTAACATTCCTTGTAAAACTTCAAACCGGGTTCATAGCCTCTTTGTTCTACGTTGTAGCTGCGATCGTCTGTGTGACACTTGTCAATCGACTGGAGTCTGATCAAGTTAGACTGAATCCGAAAACCTACGCCAGAATACAACAGTTACCAGGTCAACTGGTTTTAGCCTTGCTGCGAAAACACAACGCGTTATCGGTTTAGCTGCACCCTTGTTGGACATGCAGATCAGAAGACAAATGTGTGATACACAATGCACATGTCCAAGAATTCTACTTTTCAATGGCCTCGCAACCTCCCTCGTGTTTCCGACCCTTTACATTCCAGCCTGAACCTGTACCACTCTGACTTATCTTCGTACAATCTTGCGAAGGATATGTGAAGTTATGCAACAAGATCGGACGTGATCACCCTTATTGCTTCATTTTGCTACTATTCCAGTTTGTATTTCCGTTACAATTTTGGTGTGAACCTCATCAAAATGATTTTGACTAATGCCTCTTTTGAATCGCTGTTTCTTGTTTGTTGTTACTTTTTATTAAGAATTGCTTGAGCTGCAATGTTGTGCGTTTTCCACGTGCGCATGCTCAAAAATTCATTCTCTGCATGGCCACTTTGTTGCATAATTATTTAAACGACTGAAACTTGCACTCGATTTTTAGTCGCATGTGTGCAGCTACCTGTTATATAGATCTCAGGGTTAGCGTGCGCAAGAATTTGCGCTGCCAGCAGGTCCAAAACTAATAGAATACATATTTTTAATGTTTAAATGTCACCGCAAGTTATTGAGGGACCTCCATAAAGGGTGAAGTAAAAAATCGCTGTCGTGTTGAAATGATGAAAGGAGTGTACGAAAATTAGAGGATACCTACAAACGTTGTAGTCATTAAGCAAATATCCGAGATAAAAAACCATTAAATTTGAGTTCAATCAGCAACAATGCAGATTTCTCGAATGTGCTAAAGAGGAGGTGGAAAAATATATAAGCACATTTGCAAGTAGATTTG